AGCGGAGAGCCAAAGAGGAGGGGGAGAGGCTGAAGCCCGAGGCCCCAGCTGGGAGGCTGGAGGCAGAGGGGGCCGCGTGACGCAACCAGCCCCCGGGAGAGCCGCCAGCCGGCCAGCGCCCCAGACGCGCTGTTCCTCCCGAGCCGCGTGCCTGCTCTATTAATTCCGGCTCCCTAGGCCCTGGAATCGATTGCCCCAGGGGTCTTCTTAGCCCTGGAAACCTCCCCAGGGCTCAGCTAGTAAAAGCGCTGAAGTCTGGAGGGGGAATAAACAAGATGATCGGGGTAGGGACGCCTGGATCGGTTGGGCGGGTGGTGTTCCAGGCAAGGCGGGCTCAAGTGTCTTGTTTGTGAAAACGTGTCCCCTTGGCTGCCTCCCCCAGGGGACCCTGGCTCTTCACAGACCCAGCTGCCTCCCTCTGGCTGGTGCAATTACAGTCTGAGAGGCAGGATGATGGGGCAGGAGATCCCACCCAGAGGGCACTCAGTGCAGGGCTGGCACGGTGTGGACACTCCACACCAAAGGGCACTGTGAGTGCAGTGGGGGGAGGCAGGGGGACTTATTGCCGGGGCTGCCCCTGCTAGGCAGGAGGCTGCTCCCAAAGAGCCGCAAGGCCTGGCATCAAGCCCGATGGAGATATACCCGGACCCCACAGAGACTTGCAGACAGGGGTAAAAGACAGCCCTCTTCAGACAACTTTAACCTTGGTTCCCAGTTCCAGACCCACCAACTTAAATGGGCCAAGAACCAATAGTTTTTTAAAATAAATCCTATGATTATCTGATGAACAGCATGATTATACTGCATTGTAAGTGTGGTAATATTTATGTAACTACTTAATATATACAATGTATCTTGTAATCCAGTCTTGGCATGTCTTTCGTTTTATTATTCCAAGAGCCCTCATTCGGTGTTCTGATGCCCTGGACCCTCCCCTGCCCCCCCAGAGGTGCTGCTGCGCTGGCTTCCCTTCCCTCCCCCAGCCAGGGGCAAAAAATTAGCAGTGACCAGAGCTCTGGGAGAGCCCGCCAGGGCATTCAGTTCTGGCCATCGCTCCTCAAGGGCGTGTGGGTTTGGGTGACCTTCTGTTAGGGCCATTGGGTTTAGGAGGAGGAGGAGGAGGAGAGACTGGGCAGAGCTTTCTGCAGTCCTTTGTGGTCCTTCTTGTCACTAGTTTTCAATGCCCTCGAGTGCTGGGGACCTCAGAGGCCCACAGATAAGGAACAAGACTCAGTCCCTGTGAGAGGCTTGGAGAAACCCCTGCCTCACCAGGGCCTTTTGGAAATGGACAAAGCCCAGAAGAGTCTGGGAAGATTCTCACACCCGGAGACACGCGTGTGGTTTTCTTTGGGGGCAGGGAGAGGTGTCCATAAAATATTATTTTCTTACATATTTACTGTTTTGCTGACTAGACAAGGAACACATGTTCTTGTAAACTTTTCAAACACTGCAGAAATCAGAAAGTAACAAAAGTTCCCTTTAATTTTACCTCGCCCACTCTTCAGAGAGCCCCACTATTGTTTGGTTGTATTCTTCCAAATATTTTCCAATGTATGTATGTCCTTAACAGTAAAAGTGGGCCTATACTGTAATAGTGTCGTGCTACAGTTTTAAAGAACATCTTAATTATATATCTTGAACATTTTTCCATGTCGGTACAAAAGCTCCATCTCACTCTTACTGGTTGCATAATATTCTATTATACAGATGACTGTGGTTTATTTTTCTAGTGAAGTGCATTTCCCTCCAAATTTTCAGTATTCCAAAGAACTCTGTAACAGGCCCTCTCATTCACATAACTTTTTGCACATGTAGGACAGATTCATTTGACCATGTAGAATAGATTCTTGGGAGTGAGTGGGATTCCTTACCTGGTCTCATGAACATCTGCTTGCCTCTGGGAGACAGCCCATCTCACCCCTACTCTCTTAGCTGCTTCTGAGCCACAACCTCGCTCCTCACGGATCGTCAGCAGAATGGGGGCCTGGTGGCTCATGTGGTCAGAACCACGCAGGGAAGGCAGTGTGAACTCTGAGCTGGGCACCCTCCTCCCAGATCTTGCGGGGTAAGAAAGTTCCTCACCAAGAAGTAACTAGGAAGCAATGGAACAATGGACTCACACATGTAAGGGTCACTCAGAGCATGGGGGTGACAGGTGGAAGAGCCCCTGACCCCATTTGGGTCATAGGATGGGCTTAGCTGCCTTTGAGAGCTGACATCTGAACCCTCCCAAATGCATGACCTTGGCTGACCACAGAGGAGTCGGTGGAGTGGGACAGGGGACGAGGAGATGGCATTCCTGTTCTCCCCCACCCCATGCGATCTTGTGAAAAGAATTTTGCCTCTTTGAGTCCCAGTTTCCCACTCTCCAAACACATGCTCCTTCCTTTCTCCACTACCAGGCTAATGATCATTTTGAAAATAAGTTTTTGGGCAAGAGGCGCTAGGATAATGTCTCCTCCTCCTGTTTCAGGACAGGGTGAGTTAAGGGTCAGAGCGCCCTACCCCAACCCCCATCCCCTCTCTCCTTGGGACCCAGCTTTCTCCTGAGGTCTCCTTGTCTTTGTTTACTACGAGAGTCCAGAAAGGGTGGGGAGGTGTCTCCCTGCCCCTCGTGGCTGGGAATAATTGGGCTCCAGTGAGCTCACTCCAGGGGCCCAGCAAGCTTCAAAGCAGAGTGCTCCCAGAGGTCTTTAAGGTTGTGAGCAGCGGGGGACTCTCAGAGTCGGGAAGAAACCCCAAGTTGAAAACAGAAACCAGAATTGGTAGGAGAGAGGCCCAGATCGGGGCGGGAGCACCTCAGGTGGGGAGAGGTGGGGCTCACCTGGGGATTCAGCAGGAGAGGGCCAGGCAAGGAGGAAGGTCAGAAGGGAGGTGGCCCAAAGCCTGTTTCTGGATCCTTCAGTGGAATTCCAATTTGGCTGTCTACGTATTTTCCTAAATGACCTCTCTTCCATTTCTGGCATTTCAATCCTCTTTGTCTTCCTTCTCTCCTAGGTCCATGGTCTCTCCTTGGGACTCCCCTGAGGCTGTGACCCAGAGAGGGCAATGGCCGTGGGACGCTGTAAGACTCTGGGGTCTGGCTATAGCTCAGCTAGGCTGCAGCCAAGCCAAGGACCCCTTTCTGGGATAAAAGGAACTGCCCCTCACCTCTGAGGCTGGGTTGGGGGCTTTTCTGTGGGCTAATGGGAGAGAGACTTGTGCCTATCGTCATGGAACCAGCTCCCCTCCACTAACTTGCTACACGACGTGGGACAAGTCCCCCCCCCCACACACACCGCCGTGTCTGTTTCCTTATCTGCACAAGGGGACTCTGCCCAGCAGGACTCAAGAGGGTGCAATTGTGTTTTGAAAAGTACAATGTCTCAGATACACGTAAGGATTGGCATGATTATTGACAGAGCTACCGGTTGTCCCCATGAGAATGAGGGAAAGTAGAATCGTGGAGTCCTCTGTTTATAGCTGACTCATCTAGCAGGAGGCCAGTGGTATAACCTTGGCCGCTTGGTAACTTTCCTTGAATCATGCAAGTCTCTGGTGCAGATAAACTGGAAGGAGCATCCTTAGAGAGTGTGTGTGTCATCTGGAAAGCTAAGAGGCTGCAATCCTATTATAGCCCTTTCCATCAAGGGAGTTCTATGGCATGAACCGGGGATTGGAAATACAACCCCTCCTTAGCCCCATTTTACAGATTTGATGATCTACCCACCTCCCTCAGTAATTCACAGGTAGATCACGGTCCTAACCCAGGTTTTCAGATGCCCAGACCTCTGTCTCTCCAGCTTTCTCAGTTGTCTCCAAGGAAGCAAAACTTCACCCATTAGCATCCCCAGACATTAACCCCTGTCTCCCCACAGCACGCCGGGCAGAAGATCTTTGTTTGGCCACCTCCACACCCACTGAGATAAGGAAGGGAGGAGGGAAGAATGGAGGAGCCAGCACCCGATACTCCCTGTTCCCTATTCCCCTTCCTCTCAATCCCAGGATAAACACCCCGAGCCACCACCCTGCCAATAGGTCTGGGATGCCAGAACATTTTGGACACCCACCTTAACCAGGACCTCGGAGAGGGAAATCTGATCACTTATTTTTTGGAACAATGGAGGAAAAGTCCCTAGTGATATCGGAAGCCTCTAAAGTGGGACCTCCCTTTACGCCTGAGTCAGACCACCTTAGACTCTTGGAATCCCAGCACTGGGAGCTAACTCCACGGGTCATTCATCTGGCCCTGGCCTTTTGGGTAAGTCAATGTCAAGACCACATAGAACAGGGGGTTGGTCACTGAGGCCTTAAAGATTGTGCCCCCTCCCCACCTGCCCAGAGATGGAGTCGTCATAAGCACCCATAAGAGAACAGGTCAGGGGCCGGAACCCCAACCCTGCCCCCCCCCACACCCACTACTCCTGTGGTTGGAAATCCCTATGCCCGTGGGGGACGGAAAATGGACAGAGGGAGCCAGGGGGATGTTCAGGGCCCCAAATGCCACTCTCCACTCTTTCTCCCGGCCAACCAGGCTAGGGAGCCAAGGGTTTCCCTTCAGGATCCTCCAGCTTGCCCCAGCCTCCAGAATGGGGACGGGGCTAACCTGGCATTCAAAGCGAGGGGAACAGGAGGGAAGAAATGAGTGGGCTTCTGAGACCTGTGGCTGCAGCCGCTGAAGGCAGGAAGTTACCTTGAAGGGAAAGGTGGGGAAGATGGCAAAGGACCCATGGGAAGCCTTTCCAGCCCAGGCCTGCGCTCTGGGAGAGCTCCAACTTGCCCAGAATGAGGTTGCAAAAACAGGTGGGCTCTGTGTCGTCTGTGTCAGGGAATAAAAGTTACTGACAGTTGTCACCAGAGCAGCTGGATGTCTCCCAAACTCGAGACCCCGACCTCAGCAGGCTCTGAGACCAGAACACCCCCTGGGGGCAAACGGACACCTGCCCGCATCGAGCAATGCCCCCTGCCCCTCCACCGCAGGTCCCCTGGGGGCCAGCACTGAAGTTGGGAGCTTTACTGACCGTCTGCGTCAAAGTGCTTCCAGATCTCCAGGAACTGGGACGCCGTCAGCTCGGCCAGGTGCAGGTAAGGGGGCTGCTGCTGCGGGCCAGCCATGGCGAGCGTCTCGGAGACC